AGTACTTGTCACCATGTGGGGGGAGGGGGGGAGGGGAAATGACAGCGGATAACAGCTATGGAAGGAAAGAAATGAGAATTTCACAGGAGCCATATAAGAGAAGAACAAGGCATGCAGGAGAGACGGAGAAGAGAGAGACCACGTCCAACGGGGAAATGATCATTGACAGTGACACCTGTAAGAAACACCTACGATGCACCCGACATTGTCGAAGCATTTGGCCTCATGGCCTTATTTAGCACACTAAGAAAAAGTAGGTGAGCCTCAGAAGGCACACTGAGAGCCTGGTGTCTGGTGTACAGTAGGAGCTTTGTGTATTTTGATGGTTGATGCTGTCCACCTACAAGACACGCACTTGGGAAAAACAACATAAGCAAACCCACAGAGAATGGCCCAGCTGGTGTGCAGATCTGCACCTCAGAGAAGGGTGGGCGCCCTGCCCTGGGGAAGCTTGCAATCTAGCTGCCTTCCTCCCACCCTGCCTATCTTCGAACACAACATCCCAGGGCCTGCAGGAACGCCTATTTCTGGCCCAGTGTAGAGGCCCAGTAAAGCTTCCCTCATAAATTATGAAGGGAGACACATGTGGGTCAGGATTGGGGAGCTAAGCGCATGAGGGATCACCAGGAATCTTGCTTTGTCTAGTCAGGGATTTTCCTTCTGTTCCTGGGAGAGTGGCAGACACAGGAAGTTCTGCCAGGTTCTCCAAGGAGTTCCAAGTCTCTCCTGCTTCTGGACTTCACAGCCCTGACTGCTGGCTCCTCTTCATCTCCCAAATGAGACGGTCTCCTATCCCCAATGCCTGGTGTCTGCCCGAGGCTGGTTTGGCTGTGTTATTGTATAACCTGCCCATCCATTCCTCTATCTGGGCTGTGGGTCAGCCTTCCCTTTGCGGGGGGGGGGGAGAGGGGGGAGAGATGGCACCAAGAAACCCGGGTCCCATGGAGATATCCCTCTCTGAATGGCCCTGGCGTTTGGCTTTGCGTTTTCAACTTATTTTTAATTTTTTGGCATTCCATCCTCCCGGCTATTGTTGAACTGTCACTTAACCAGGTAATTTTCCTCCCCCTTCTCATCCTGCTGCTTCAAATGTCTAAATAGATAAGGGGGGCATTCTAGAAGCCTGGCAGCAAGGGAGGGCCTAAGGGGCTTTCTTATGTGAGTAAAAGATGCCCACTTTAATGTGGTCTTTAAGATCCAGACTCCACCCACTCGGTGGCTTCTCTGTGCTCTGCAAGCGCAAGGCCTGGAGGGTGGCGGCCGTCGGAAGTCAGGTCTTGGTTTGGAAGAGGTCACACCAGGTGTTTCTTTGAACCCAGAAAGGCTAAGGAATGCCCAAGGAGTCTGCTCCTTTCCTGGCGCCTTCTCCCCCTGCAGCTCAGGCAGCAGACCCGAAGGGAGGACAGAGAGGAGCCAGGGCCCGCCACGCAGCAGGACAAGCAGCCCACTGCTGACAGCGTGTCTAGCCTCAAATTACACCATCTCAGAGCTCGGGCATAAAATTAGCAGCAGTGTTCTCTGTGTGAGAAGCCAGAGAAATACTCGTATTCAGCAGAACAGCAGAAGACGGGGAGGATGGGGGAGGGGAGGGGCTGACCACCCCAGACACCCCTCCCTGCTTCAGAGTTACTGCCAGGGGCCAGGTCAGAGCAAAGGGGTTCTTGGGATGGTGAAAGGGGTGTGGGGGAGACAAGACCTAGGAAAACCTGGTCAAGTAGGTTTGAGAGCTGGTCCTACCTCAAACACTCTCTGTCTCTCTGTCTCTGTCTCTCTGTCTCTCTGTGTCTCTGTCTCTCTGTCTCTCCCTCTCTCTCTCTGTCTCTCTGTCTCTCTCTCTCACACACACACACACACTTATTGGTCAAGAATAAGAAATCTGCAAGTGTGGAAGTGGCGCTGTAGCTCAAGTGGTAGAGCGTTCGCTTTGAGCTGAAGAGCTGAGGGACAGCACTCAGTCCCAGAGTTCAAGCCCCACGACCGACAAAAAAAAAAAAAAAAGAAATCTGCAAGTGTCAGCCAGGCATGGTGACTTACAGCTATAATCCCAGCACTTAAGAGACTAAAGTAATAAAATCCCAAGTTCAAGGCCCACCTGAGCTATATAGTAAGATCATGTCTTAAAAGTCAAAAGAGAGAGAAAAAGAGAAAGGAGAGAGTTCCAAGTATCTAGGCACATTGCAAATATTCTTCTCATTCATTCATTCCACAACTCCAGTGGAAGCCTGCTTTTGCAGGTGATCAAAGAAAGCTTCAAAGAGGGTCTCTGGGCTTCTCTCAGTGAGGTAGACACCCTAGCAGTATATCCTTGTCTGTAATAGTTAGGCACGCACTTGATTCCAGCAGAGAAATTTGTTCTCTCCTAACACAAGGTCCTTTCTATACATGTATGTGTTCAGAAACAACACGCACACACTCCACACTTGCCCACGCCTGTTGTATGTGTTTATACACCAACGCATGCTTCTAACTATACACAAGATACATTCTGTTTGCACAATCACACACCAGCGCTTGCAAAATGGTTCTGCCATGTCCCGTGTTTCCTGCCCAACTCTTGACCAATGCCCTGGTTGGTCCTCCTGGGCCGTGGGCGGGGCTCACACCTCTAGAGGCCATTAGCCTGCTGTCCTGCCTTTGCGCTGTTCATTAGCACTCCCGTAGAGAGGCCACGGCCACCGCCATTTGTATTATTTCTAGTTCCTCAGGTGTGAATTCTTCCTTACACCCAAGCTGGGCTGTGAAATGTTGTTCGCTGTGGTTGGTGGCTTTCACTCTGGGAATTCCCAGGCAATGCCTGCAAGACACCTGGCTCTCAATCTTTGGGTGGGGGAGGAACTCAGCTTAGAATTCCTGTCCCACATGGGCCAGGGCCTCTATCTGGACCTCCCACCAGGCCAGGTGTCAGGCCTGGGGCTCTGACCTGGTGTGTGTGCCCCTCTAGCCACCCACACTGGCTTGGGCTGGCCCCTGAACACATCTGTCTCCGTCCCTCCCCACCCCACCCCTTCCCCTTCCCACTGGAGCTCAGGGCTGACCTGCGGCAGGGCGGCAGGCCCCGCCCCTTGGAGCCAGTGCCAGCGCCAAGGCTAGAACCGCAGTCCTCATGGCCTGTGTCCTTGCTGGACCTGTGTCCTTGCGGGTCCCAGCCCCTCACACAGCCCCTTCCTCTCCGAATCTGCTACTTGTTTTTGAGACGGGATTTCTATGTGTGAAATAGCTTCAATTGCTCTATCCAGCAGGCGTGAGATAGTGGGAAATTTCACCTTGTGTTCACTCCCCAGCTCCGTTTAGCTCTGAAGTCCAAACACTTTGCTCACTAAGTGGCCATTGGTTAACTGTCTCTCCTCCTCCTCTGATGTCTTCCTACCTTGTTTCCACTTCCCCAGAAGCCTGTGAAGGATGCTGGTCCAGCCCAGCCTGTGGCTGGAGGTCAGACCTTTCTGGGTACAGACAGAGCAGGTTCCTGAGATTCCAGCCCCATCTTGGACTGGTGTCTTTTTTAGGGGCAAAGAATCTCTTAGGGGTGGCTGGGCGGTGGAGGGGTGCGCAATGGAAGGCCTCCCCGTTCTTGAGCCAGACAACATCAAAACTCCTAAGACTGGCCCGGTGCCGGTGGCTCACGCCTGTCATCCTAGCTACTCAGGAGGCTGAGATCTGAGGATCACGGTTCCAAGCCAGCCAGGGCAGGAAAGTCTGTGAGACTCCTATCTCCAATAAACCACTCAGAAAACTGGAAGTGGCGCTGTGGCTCAAGTGGTAGAGCGCTCGCCTTGAGCTGAAGAGCTGAGGGACAGTGTTGAGGCCCAGAGTTCAAGCCCCACAAACGATGACAAAAAAAAAATCCCAAGGCCGGTTTCTTTCTAGCACCCTTGTCTGGAATATGGGAAATCAGAAGTCTCCAGGCACCTCTGGGCTAGCTCTGTTCCCACAGATCCCCGGGCAAGTGTAGGGGTGTTCCTAATTTGGGTGGATGGGGGGGCAAAAGGGCCTGCCCGCCCCCAAAGGCCCATTTGGCGGCTCTATAGACATGAGGGCTGGGCCGCTTCCCCGCCTCTTCCGCCTCCTCTCCTGCACCTCTGAGGGAGGCGGGCATGGGCACGTCCCTGGGTGTGGTGGCTGTGCCTGTGGTCAGCATGGTCATCTCCTTGGAGAGTTCCTTCAAGAGTAAGCTAGAAGGACGCTCGGTGCGCTGGCTGCTGGACGTGGCCGAGGGTCTGCAGTGTGCCCGGCATGTGTTAGTGCACACACCACGTCTCCAGGCCACTCCACAGTGACCAGGGCTCCCCGGAGAAAGCGCAGGGATCTGGGAGGTGACAGGTGGGCTCAGGGAGGCCTGATCACGGGCAGCTCTGAAGCGGAGACCCGGAGGAAGGCGCCCTGCAGCCGAGGAAGGCTGGGGGAGCCCCTGGGGAGCAGGCATCTTGAAAGGGGGTCACTGAGGGTAGTGAGCTGGGAGAGCGGGCCAGAAGAGTCGGGCGGTGGGGGACAGGCTTCATGGGGAGGAGGGTGACACAGTGTGCAATGCCAGGCCGGCTGTAGCAGAGGATTGGCTGGGTATGGAGCTCTGAGGATGGGGAAAGGGCCACAGCAAGGTGGAGGCATAGACCAACCTTCATACTCTAGTATGATAGAGATCAGGGAGGCTTCCTGGTGGAGGTGGCATCTGGGCCGGGCCTGAGGGAGGGAGGACAAGGAGGAGCCTAACGTTTTAGGTCTGGGTCAGATTCAGTGGGGGCCGGGTATGGAGGCCAGGGATGAGCAGTTAACACCTCAAGACCACAGGGATCCACCAGGGGGACCAGGCCCACCCTGGCGTGGCATCTCTGGGGCTCTGCAGATTCCTGCCACCCAGCCAAGCCTGGACACCACAGACCGGCAGGAGGAAGTCCCCAGAGTAAATGTCCCCTGTGACCCTGGGGCCCGAGGGGGGCCAGGAAGTGGGGTAAGAGGAAGTGGTGTCTCAGAGCCTGGGGAGGAGCCTCCCTGAGGGTCCGGGGAGACAAGGGCGAGGCCTCCTGGGAGCCCAGCCATCCCCCAAGGCAGGGAGCTCAGAGCAAGTGAGACTGAACTCAGCCTGGGTCTGGCTGGGGGAGATCCTGGACCGCCCACTTACTCCCCTGACCACCCACCACCATGGCCCTGGCCCAACAGCTGCGGGTGGAGAGGTGAGTGAGGGGGTAGTCTCTTCCCTGGGCCTGTTCACTCTTCCAGGCAGGCCTGGGCGGGAGGGGGTGGGCCGCAGGAGCCTTGTCAACTTGTCTGCGTGAGAGGCTGGGCTGAATCAGAACTGGACACTGGGAACTGCTTTCAGGAACTTTCCTCTGTGGCTCACCAGCCCCAGGCACAAGCGAGAACAGAAAGGCAGGGAGGAGCTCCCTCAGAGCCGAAATCTCCAGCCCAGGTGTCCTTGGGTTCTAGGCCTGGGCTTCCGGCTGACCAGCGTGGTCAGTAGTGGTCTCCATGTGTTGTCCAGATGAAATCACGGCCTCCTTCTTATTCTCCCAGGGCCAGGCTCAAATGCTCCCCCTTCCCCAGGAAGCTCTCCCTGCCTGCCGGGCCTCTTTGCCCACTGGCTCATCGGTTCTGTTTCCTCTCGCTCTGCCTTGTCCTTAAGATTACTGGCGTAACATTACTTTCCCATCGATTGTTCATTTTCTTCCTCATGGGCTCCCCAGCAGAAGCAAGCTTCGTGAGTGTTCCGGGTCTATTTTGGCGACTGCTATTTTCCTGATTAAAAAATATGGAGCGCTCAAGAAATGTGGCTGAAGAAACTAATGAATCAATTAGTGGTGTCCCAGATCCTTTTTATCCAAAGCCAAGAGGGGGAAATCGAGGACCAGGAGGGTAGAAGACTCACTTTGCGTCATGTAGCGTGAGCTGTGAGGCTGGGGCTTGCAGTGGGGCCCCCCGGGGGCTCAGCCACCCCCTAGCTCAGCATTTGCTGAAGGCTTCCCGAGTGGCCAGGCAGCAGTAGGGTCCTGAGGACACAGAGCAGGGGTCCTGATCCCCGGAGTTTGAACAGAGGCATTATCACGGAGCAAGTTGCCATGGTAACTCCTCCCTCCCCCCCCCCCCCCCCCCCGCCCAGCGGCCAGAGCAAGGTTAGGCTGATGGGGGCTCATGGGGAAGCCTGAGGGGTAGAGGGGAAAGGGTAAGATTTCCAAAGGTTAAAGGTCAGAAAAGAGGCTTGAGGGAGCAGGGCAGGGGCGGGGAGGGGTGCAGGAGCAAGTGCTGAGGGTTCTGGAGAGACCACCAGATTCCAGCTCCTCTCCCCCACAAGTTCTCCTGCTTAGCTGGCCTGTCACGCAAGCTCAAACCTTCTGGCTTGGGTCACTTCCTGCTGCTTGGGTGGCTGGAGAGCCGGTCAGCTGGGCTGTGTGTCCTCATCCCTGGCTACCCTCCTCGGCCCCTCCGTGAGCCGTGGGGTGGGGGGCTGCTGTACCCCAGCACCTGTCTTCGAGCAGCCCATAGAGCCGAGCCTCAGCCACAGCAGGGGGGCACCGGTGGGCGGGTTCACCAGGCAGCTCTTTCTAGAACCACAGCCAGGCCAGACACCCAAGCTAGAACGAGGCCATTGAGGGGGTGGCCCCTGGGGAGTGTGGCCCCCCCAAGCCAAGCTCCAAGCACAGCGCACAAGCCAGCTGCCCTGGGGGCCCTTCCAGCCCTCGGCCTCCCAGGCCGAGCTCTAAAGTCCTCTTTGGAATCCAAGATCCTGTGGGCTTTGAACCCAGCGTTGGCCCAGCTGGTCCTAGGCAGGGCCTCTGGGGGAGCCGCTCCTCCAAGGGGGCTCCATTTAGTTCTGTGTGCTGCCCTGCAGGCCACCCGCCCCTACACCGCCATCAGGCCCAGCTGGCCGGCTCAGCGCTTGGTACAGCCTGGGCTCGAGGCTGGAATCTCCTTGTGATGGTTCCAGGGCTTCGTTGGCAACAGGTGAACCTTCATGAGCACCCAGATACACAAGGACTCGTGTCCCCATTTTACGGAGTGGAAGGGATCCAGCGAAGAAAGGTTCCAGGCCCCTTCGTGGCCAGGGCTAAGGGGTTTGGGCCTTATCTTCCCCGTGTTGGACTGGGGCCTGACCTCCCACCAGAGAAAGGTCAAAGGTCTCTGTCAGGTCCCAAAGGCCCCAGTGCAGGACCTGCCTTCCCACCTCGACCCCTCTGCTCCTGCCCAGCCCATCTCCCCTCCATTCCTCACCCTGGCCTGGAACATCTTCATACTTGCTAGCTCTCCCTCCTGCCACGCAGGACTGAGTCTTCCGCTTCTCCCTGCTGACTCCGGGCTCCCAGCGTGGACTGCTGGGGCCTGGCCTTCCTGGCCTTTGTGTGCATGTAAGCCACGAGATTCCTGGTCCAGCCCCTCTGCTACCTGGATCCGGAGGCTAGACGCCATGCGCTAGTGCGCTCAGCACGGGCACTGCCCGCACGCCACATGGAAGGGTTTGCTGAAGTGATTGTGATCCCAGACGGCATACTGGAAGGAAAAGGATTTGTCTAAATGCATTCAGCCCCGTGTGGAGAGGCAGCGTCTGCACAGGGCGGTTCTGGGGTCAGCCTGCTTGGGCTCGGACGTCAGCTTGCTGATTTCCTAAGGCCACCTCTCTGCGCCTCTGCCAAAGCTGGCACTGCCTCAGAGCAGCTCCTGGCACACCGTGAGCCCTCGGGGGAGTTGGCGATCCCTGTCTGCAGCCATCTCTCCCCTCCAGCTCCTTCCTGACCCACCTCTAGTGTCCTGGATATGCAACCTCACAGAAATGCTGGGGGGAGAGAATGGAAGGGCTGATTTCTCCCCCCCCCCAGGCTCGCCATGGCCCGCGTGGGCGCAGGCAGCGAGGAGGTCACCAGCAGCCGCAGCAGGGCGGGATCGAGGGGGCTTTCCTCTGCCGGTCTGCTGCCACCCTGAGTCACCTTCCAGAACAGGATCCTGGGACTGCAAGCACAGATCCCGTGACACGGGGAACAGGGTGTGTGGGCTGCGGCGATAGACATGGCGGCCCCAGCCCGTCTCCTGGTCACGGTGTGGGGAAGCCTGCAGTGGAGTTGGTTCCTCATCCGTGCACTCATGTCTAGACTCTGAGGCCCTGGCTGCACCTCTTCCCCCTTCTTGGCTGTTTGCTTTTCCTCCTCTGCCAGTCCTTGGTTCTGCTCACTGACAGCTCATCCCTGGGCGTTTTGATAACAAGCTAGGACAGGTGATTCTCACCTGGGCCGCTCCTGCTGAGTTCCACACCTGCACCCCGGCTTCCTGCTGGACATCTCTACCCCTGGGCCTGGCGCCTCTTGAATGAGCACAGCCCCCACACAGAGCCCATCAGCCGGCCCCCTCCCTGGCCTGGTCAGAAATGGAGAGGGGGCTGTGACTCTGGATATTATCCTTCGTTTCTTTCACCCCACATCCAAGCAGTGTCCCAGATCCACAGGTCATAGCTTAGGAGCAACTCCGAAACTGGTCATCCGTCCTTTACAAATGCACTAGGCTTCAGGGGCTTGGGAGAGCTGAGCGTGCTTACACAATGACAAGGGTTTGTTTGCACGCCTAATCAGAAATATAGAGGCCATAACTAGTTCCACAGCCAGCAACTTCAGGACCAGCCTGGCAGAGATTCTTTCCTCTGCTTTATGATGCTTCCTCATGGCTGCAATGTGGCTGCTGCCGATCCAGACGTTGCACTTGATTTCAACAGGGGCCTGTCTATCCTTCTGGAGAAGGAAAGCAAACACTCTTGAGAGATCCACACATACCCCAGATGACCTCTTAGCTCTCATTGGCCAGTACAAGTCATATGGCCGCTCCACGCTGCAAGGAAAGCAGGGAGAGGGAAAGAGGATCTTTCTGCTCCTGTAACAAAATGCCTGAGACAATCAACTCCTAAAGAGAAAAGGTTGATTATGACTCAAAGCCCAAGACGGGGGCTCTGGTGAGGGTGGTATACCTCACAGAGGCAGCCCAGGGCAAACTGCTTACATCCTGGGCCTGATGTAAGCCCAGCAACTGGCGGCCAGAGAACCCCTTCAAGGCCATGTCCCAGTGACCTTCCATGAGACGCCACCTCCGGCAAGTCCACGGTTCTCTCACTAGCGCCACCTGTGGATAAAACCTTTACTACATGCCTGTCCAGGCTTCTTCCGGCTCCTTGTGGGCTCCTGGCTGAGCCATGAGGTTCAGGGCAGTAGAAGCTGGTGTGTGACGCCTTGTCCCCCTCCACACCCCTCCCTGTCAGGGCTTGCTCTGTGCCTGGAGCTCTGGGTTCCACGGGCCAGTGAGGGGTGTGGTGGTGAGCAAGAAGTGAGAGCCACCCCCATTGGTTGGTGTTGGACCCGCCTCACACCCGGCTAACCAGGATCCTTCTCTCTGGCCACCCGCCAGCGACTTCGAGCAGCTTCCTGATGACGTGGCCATCTCTGCCAACATCGCCGACATCGAGGAGAAGAGAGGCTTCACCAGCCACTTTGTAAGAAAGACAGCGTCTGCTCCTTTGCCCTCTGCCCTCAGGTCTCATAAGTGAACACCCATCTCAGACAGTGGTTCTCTGCTTTAGGATTACAGGGTGACTATTGTCTCTCAGGACCTTGTGATGATTGTCTCCGGTGGGTAGAGTTCAGGGTGCTCTAAGCATGTAGGGGGCCCACAGGACACCCCAATGAAGAGTTATCTAGCTCAGCTTAGGATTGAGGTTGAGACCTCTCATCTCTCCTCTGAGTCTCCTCCTTTTGTCTCCCCTTGACCTATGAGCCCCCATCTCTGTCCCCAAGACCCCTCTCTGGGTTGGGTTCTCCCCCACCTCTTCCAAGCCCCCCTCACCTCTGGGCCTCCCTTGCCTCTGACCCCCATAGGTTTTTGTCATCGAAGTGAAGACAAAGGGGGGAGCCAAGTACCTCATCTACCGCCGCTACCGCCAGTTCTACGCCCTGCAGAACAAGCTGGAGGAGCGGTTTGGGCCGGAGAGCAAGAACAGCCAGTTCACCTGCAGCCTGCCTACACTCCCAGGTGAGCCCCTGCCCGGTCCTGCTGGGGCCCTGGTCCTGCTGGGGCCCCAGTCCTGAGCCCCTGCTGTGGATCTGGCTGTCTAGCTCTGCTCACCTGTACCAGGATTCACCCACCCATAGGAACATCATTCACTTGGTCCATGACCCCTCCATGGCCCACCACCCTGCCGTTCCTCCAGCCCTCAGCCCACACCACCCACCGCCAGGGAGGCCCCAGGCGGAGCAGGGCAGCGGCCTCAGCTTCTCAGCTGGCGATGGGAATTCCATCTCCCTGCCATGCACTTGGCGCCCCTCCATTCTCCCTGCACCCCAGCCCGAGCCCATGGACCTGCCCACAGCTTAGGCTTCACCAACTCCAGGTGGCTGATCCCTTCCTGCCCGTCAGGAAAGCTCGGCACCCCCATTCTGCCCGTAGAACCCTCAGCTCCCGCCCTCCCCATCTTCCTCCCCAATCCCTGAACAAGCACCTTGGACAGCTCCTGGTTTCTTAGCAACACCAGGGCTCCTGGGGCTGCTAGAGGAACACACCCCCCCCCAGGCCTGGTTTACCTGGGGGCTTGGTGGGGTGGGGGGCAGGCCTGTGTGGCCGACAAGGCGACACTAATCAACCTCCCCAGGCCTCAGGAACCTGCTCCATCTTCTCTCTCAAATTCCAGCTCCACCTCTGACTCTCCCCTGCCGTGCTTCCTTTTCCCTCCCCTCTCCTCCACCCTCTTCTCCCTTCCCTTCCCTTCCCTTCCTCTCCCCTCCTCTCAGTTCCTGTCCCTCCTCCCTCTCCTCCCCTCTCTTCTTCCCTCCCTTCCTCTCCCCTCCTTTCCCCTCTGTCCTCATCTCTCCCCTCCCTCCTCTCCTCTCTCCTCCATCCTCTCTTTTCCTCCTCTAAGAAACCATGTTTCCCCATCAAGAAAACCCCAGCTCTCCCCAGGAGGCTCCCCGTGTCCATGGTCCCTCCTCCCCTGGGCTGTGGTGAGAGGGGTTCCGGTCCTCTGGTTCGCCCCCCGGCCCGCTCTACCTCCTTCTTGAGGAGATTCCTGTTCCTCCCCTGTCACTTTGCCTCCCTCCGACCCACTGCTCCGCCAAGGAGCGTCTGTGCAGGCTCCCAGTGTGAACGCCGTGCTCCCCGGAGACACTCCACAGCCAGCGGCCCCCAAGCCTCTGAGTCCCCAAGGGTCCTCTTTGCTCCTTTGAGGTTTGCCTCTATTGGCTGCTCACCTTGCCCCTGTCCCCTGCCGGCTGCCTCCCCCTCCCCACCCCTGCTTCCAGCTCTGTCACAGCTACCTTCCTCACGCCAATCCCAGAGGAAGAGCACCGCCTGGAGGGCCATCATCCCAGCCTACTCCCACTCCAAATCCTTGACCAGGCGGAGGACTCGCGCCCGCAGCTTAAGCGGACACCTGCCTGCTACTTTCTCCCAGGGGCCCTGCCCTCCCTATCTGCCACCCTTGTACCATCAGTAAGCACCCACACCCACACATTCATGCACACACACACACACACGTACACGTGCTCACACACGCACATGCACACACCTGCCCACATACGTACCCATGCGCACTCATACACACATGCACACACACGTACACATGTGCACACGCTCCTGGCTTGTGGCACTGGAAGCCATACACAGGTCACACTGGCTGATGGCTCCCCGAACCCCACCTGGAGGCTTCTGGAAATAATATTTGTCTCTGGGTTGGCCACCCTTCCCCCACCCCCAGCATTCCTCCCTGTTTTATATTTGTCGGTCGTGGGGCTTGAACTCTGGGCCAGGGCGCTGTCCCTCAGCTCTTCAGCTCAAGGCGAGCACTCTACCTCTTGAGCTACAGCGCCACTTCCAGTTTTCTAGTGCTTTATTGGAGATCAGAGTCTCACAGATCTCAGCCTCCTGAGTAGCTAGGATGACAGGCGTGAGCCACCGGTGCGCAGCAAGTAATTCGTTGTTATACTGCCCCCCAACCAATGTTGACGCCTCTGCTCGTGACAGCACGCCCCTGCCCGACTGCACACCCCTGGTTCTTAGCTCTGGTGGTACAGTACCCTGAGAGACTTGAGGCATCTACACCTGACGAGTGTGGTATAGTTGTTCCGGGGCGAGCCCTGCCTGGTGAGGTGACTGTGTGTGCAGGGCTGAGACCCCGGGGCCTAGGGGATGGATGGGACACAGCTGTGAGCAGAACTGGTAAAGACCTTGATCTCTTAGAAGCAAATGTGTGTGAGTGTGTGAGGATGTGTGTGTGCATATGTGTGAATATGTATGTACCTGCCTTTGTGTGTGTATGTTTGGAACAGATAATAAATGGTCAATAAATGCATAAACCTGTCATGGTCCAATGTGGAGACTGAGTTCCACCTCAGCACCAGAGACAGATGGGGGGAGGGGCTCTGAGTGGGGGAGGGGCTCTGAGTGGGAGATGGGGCTCTGAGTGGGGGATGGGGCTCTAAAGGGGGAGGGGTGTGGCCAAGGTGCGGGTCCTGCAGAGCAGCTGGGGCCCAGGCTCCATGCTGGGCGGGGCTCTGAGGCCAGATCTGCCCTCTCCACAGCCAAAGTCTACATGGGTGTGAAGCAGGAGATTGCCGAGGCCCGGATCCCAGCCCTCAACGCCTACATGAAGGTATGGGTGGGCCATGCTCAGAGGGGCTCAGAGCCCCTCCCCCCCGGGGGGCTGTGGCCTTGGGAAGTGGGCTGGCTCAGTGGCTCTGATGGCCCCGCTGTCAGTCCCTAAAGGCCTAGCTGGGGCCAGAGGCAGGATGTGTCCTGGGGGGGAGGGGTAGGATCAGGCCAGAGCAGTGAGTAGACCAGGAGCCACACTGGACCAACAGCTCTCTAGCTAGCTTTCCAAGCCTCCAGACCAGATGGATGTCAGGATGAGATGAATTAGGTCCAGACACCTGTCCCCCAAGGAGCCCCCTGCCCTGTGGATCATGAAATCACACACGGTGACTTGGCCTGGCTGGCCATGTCCCCTTTCACAGCTGCTTTGTGTAAGATGGAGAGAGGAGAACAAAGCTAGTGCCGGGCGCACTGGGCCACGGGGCTGTCCATGTCCTCTGCTGACCACCCGCTCCCTCCTCCGCTCCTCCACAGAGCCTCCTCAGCCTGCCCGTCTGGGTGCTGATGGACGCGGACGTCCGCATCTTCTTTTACCAGTCGCAGTACGACTCAGAGCAGGTGCCCCAGGCGCTGCGCCGGCTCCGCCCCCGAACCCGGAAAGTGTGAGTGGCTGCCGCTGGGTTCCTGCTGGAAAGACACCGCTTGTCCCTGGAGGCAGAGCGGGGAATGGATCCGTTCTGTCCCTGAGCAGCCCCCCGAACCCCCTGGCCCTCAGGATGGCTTTCAATGAGCTTGGAGAACCCAGCTCCGGTCCTAGAGGGACAGACAGCAGGGATATTTTGACATGTCAGAGGACAGGTACTGGGGCATCCATCTTGGTGTGGTGCCAGAGTAATCACTTGGGGTAACCCAAGTGTTCTGGGTGTCTGGAAAGAGTGAAGGGCAGGGGAGAGGGGAAATAGCAATGCCTGGGCGCTGATCAGTTGTCATCTCTGGCTCTGCTTTTACCACACTTGTCCCCTAGGGGACGCTCTTGCTCCTTATGCCAAATTGCTTGCTCCCTGTTCCCTTCCTCCCCACCTCAGAATCAGAAATCAGCCAGCAAAGTGGTCCCTGGCTCTGCTACCAAGAAGTCAGGGGGAGGAGGGGAAGAGGTTAGGGGGCAAGAAGGTACTCCTGAGCCTCTGTCTCCCTCCTAGCCCCAGCCAGCCCTTCTGTGGCCTTGACGTCCTGTACCTGGTACTTCCCCTGCACCCCTGTGCAGCTGGGACAACCCCGGGCACGCCACCTCTCCCAGCCTCAGTTTCCTGGGTTGCCTATAGAGCAGAAAATAACTAAGCCATGAACTTCATCCCCTCCCCCTCTGCACCCTGCTTCCCGGCCACTCCTCCCCCCCGGGCAGTGCCGAGGGTATAGGAGCAGGGGGCTCACCCCAACAAGCAATAGAGGCTGCGGGGTGAAGTCTTCACCTTCCCAACCTTTCCTGCCTCCGGCTGGGGGCCTCTGGCACTGAGCCCTGAGGGACCTGAGCCCCTTTTCTCTCTCCATAGCAAAAGCATGTCCACCCAGAGCACCAGCCTTAAACCCATGGAAGCACCAAAAGCCGAGGTATGTGCCAGCCAGGCCACGTTCTCCCCACCCCCAGCACCCATGGGGCACCCTGCTGGCTACAGCGTGCCCTGGATGGGGACAGGGTGCAGGGGGAAGCGAGGGCCCGCCCTCCTCCCTCAGCCTCAGACACCAGGAGCCCCAGTCTCTGCTGAGAAGAGAAGGCAACTAGCCTGCAGAGACAGAAGAGGGGAAGGCAGCCATGCATCTGCCCATCTGGAGGGCCTCCTCCTCCAGGCAGCCCTGTCCGGGGAGACTGGCCTCAGGGGACTCAGAAAGGGCCCCACCCCCAGGGACTGGCAGCACCCTGGGGGTGCTCTTACAAATGGGCACCTTCCAACCAGTGGGGGCAAGATCTTGTCCGGGCCCTGGAGGCTCCACGGATGGCTTCTCCTCCATCCTCTCCAGGCCCTGTTTGATTTCACCGGGAACAGCAAGCTGGAGCTGAGTTTCAAAGCTGGAGATGTGATCTTCCTTCTCAGTCGGATCAACAAGGACTGGCTGGAGGTGAGGAGGGAGAGAGGTAGAGGTGGGGAGGGAGGGGCAGGGGTGAGGAGGGAGGGGGTGGAAGGAAGGTTGAAGGAAGAGAGGCAATGGAGGTAAGAGAGGAGGGAGATGGAAGCGAGAGTGAAGGGAGGAGGGAGGGAGGGAAGGAGGGAGGGAGGAGGCATCCCCAGAGCCCTCCAGCTTCCCTCCATCACCTGCCCATCACTACCGCCATGCACACACAAAATCACTAGCATGAGCCTGTCTCTCTGTTCACCTCCTAGCTCTGTGGTAACCTGTCCTGTGGACTTTGGAGCTTATTTCCTTTTCTCAGATGAGCAGGACCTGCTCCCAGGGAGCTGGGGTGCCCCATGCCTGGCAAATGCAAGGGTCCTGGGGAGACTGGGATGGGACTCTAAGGTGGAGCCTGTCCCAGTCATTACCTGGCTCCAGCTGGGCACTGAGGCTCCACCTTGCCTTTGAGCACGGGCGGAGGATCAGCAGTGGAAGCCGGTCTAGGTGACCTTTTCCATCAGGCCCCATTGTGACCATAAGGGCTTCTCTTTGCTCAGCTCTCCTGGGCTATGTCTACAGGAGATTCTGCGCAAGCCAAGGCAGAGCCAGCCCTCAGGGGTCCTGGGACCACTGAAGGGAGTTGGGGGGGGGGTCCCTGGCTCCATCTCGGGAGGCACTGGAGGGCGTCCGGGGGATGAAGGGTGAGGCGCTTGAGGTGGTGGGAACTCATGGCCAGAAGGGAAGAAGGACATGAGGAAGGGGAAGGAACTAGTATCCTCTGCTCCCACCAAGGCCACACCCCAATGAGCTAAGGCCCTCTCACCAGGCCCCACCTCTTATTAAATGGTTCCATCCCCTATCCCCTCCCTCCACGGGGGACAATCTAGATACAAACTGCGTCGCTCATCCTGTCCACGAGGGGCCCAGGGCTGGGCTCCGAGGTGTGTGGCTGTGTTTCTCCTCTGCAGACCAGGCAGCATCCTCCACCCCACCCCCACAGGGCACAGCCCACGGAGTCACGGGCATCTTCCCGGGCGCCTTCGTGAAAATCCTCAATAACTTCCCTGAGGAGGACGACCCTACCAACTGGCTGCGCTGCTACTACTACGAGGACACCATCAGCACCATCAAGTGTGTGGTCTCTGCTTGCCTTCCTACCCCTCCCTCACCTCCACGTGACACATGCCCCCCCCACACACCCACTGTGCCTTCCACTGCCTTCCAGATAACCCACAACCCTAGGGCAAGATGAAGTCCAGCCTCATTCCCAGCTTCCAGCACGCTCCTCTCCCTGTCTGAGGCCCCCTCTCTCCTGCCTGTCACCCCTTAGGGACATTGCGGTGGAGGAAGACCTCAACAGCACACCCCTGTTCAAGGACCTGCTGGAGCTCATGAGGTTTGAGGGGTCTGCAGCAGGAGGGGCGCATGCTGGGGGAGTCACGTGCCCTGGAGAGGGTAACTGAGAGAGAAACGCTACTCGCCATGGTATCAGCCATTCTACACATCTCCCTTCTTGCTGAACTCGCAGCCCTGCCCCAGGTGGTCTCTCCTGGGGCAGAGGGGTCCGGGAGGGAGCTGCCCAGGGACAGACAGACTCAGCCCGGGCCATAGTGTATGGCTAGGTTTGTAGCAAGCACCAAAGTCTCTCTGAAAGCCTTGAACCTGGACCCTCCATCACCAGGGAGCTTCATTATGGAGCAGTTATTTTACAGAATGGCACTGGTGGCTCACACCTGTAATCCTAGCTACTAAAGAAGCTAAGATCTGAGGGTCGTGGTTCGAAGCCAGCCAAGGCAGGGAAGTCCATGAGATTCGTATTTCTAATTTAACCAACTGAAAGCTAGACGTGGAGGTGTGACTCAAGTGGTAGAGCTCTAGCCTTGAGCAAAAAAAGCTAAAGGACAATAGGTAGGCCCAGAATTCAAGCTGCAGTAGCAGCGCAGGCTTGCATACACATGTACACACACACACACACACACACACACACACTCACACACACATACACAGCAAAAATAAAAATAAAATAGCAACAGTGCCACTACATTGCTTACTATAAAAGTAACTGCTAAGCATGATAAAAAAAATGGAAAAGCTGTAATTATGAGTCAGAAAGGTAGAAATAGTGAAATTGCTTTGTATTTTTACTTTTTTTTTTTGGTCACAGAGCTTGAACTCAGGGACTGGTGCTGTATCTGAGCTCTTTTGCTCAAAGCTAATGCTCTACCATTTTGAGCCACAGCTCCACTTCTGGTTTTCTGATGGTTAATTGGAGAGTAGAGTCTCACCGACTTTCCAGCCCAGGCTGACTTTGAACTTTGAACTCAGATCTCAGCCTCCTGAGCCACCAGTGACTGGCATGTTTTTACTCATTAGTCAATGTACATCAGAGCTCTCAGTTCTTTTTCTCTCCCTCTTACCTTTTTTTCTCTCTCTCCCTCTTTCCATCCCTGCCTCGCTCCTCCTTCCAACCCCCTCCATCCCCATGTGCCATTCTGTGGCCTCATGATCATTTCTGTGGCCATACAGGTGACTTCCCACTTTGTCACTGCTACAAATGGTGCGATCACCACGTGTTGTCATTTGCCTGTGTGGTGACCAATCTCCTATTCCTTTGGGATAATTTTCAAGAAGTGGAATTATGGGACATCTAAGAGAAGTCAATTAGACTTCACGCCCAATGGGTCAAATTAGCCACAGGAAGATCAGAAGTGAACATTTACCTCTTCAGATAGATGGAAGAATGTCACACGGACAGCTCACACAGGTGTCTCTCTGGGGCTTCCCCTGCTCTGCTCTGCCTCCAGTCAAGCACCTCTCCTCTTCTTGCCAACCCTTAAACCTTTAGCAGATCCATGCATAAGACATTGCAGGCCTTGCAGCTAACTCACTGTGAAAAGTCCCTGTTAAGTCTCAGTTTCTTTGCCTGTTCAATGCAGGTTGACCATTTGAGTGTTAAGGTCCTCCCCTGATTCTTAGATCCAGGTTATAAAGCTCTCCATCCCCTCCACTTAGGCCAGAGCCCCTGGACGCTCTCTTGGGCTCTGGCCTTAACCCTGACCTGTCCCACCAGGCGGGAGTTCCAGAGAGAGGACATTGCCCTCAATTACCAGGATGCGGAGGGCGACCTGGTGCGCCTGCTATCGGACGAGGACGTGGGGCTCATGGTGCGGCAGGCCCAAGGCCTCCCCTCCCAGAAGCGCCTCTTCCCCTGGAAGCTGCACATCACCCAGAAGGACAACTACGGTGTCTACAACACGGCTCCGTGAGTGGCGGTGGCCTGAGGGACCAGGAGGGTGGACGCCGTCATGCTCAGGGGCACACCAGGACTTTCAGGAAAGGCTCAGACTTCGGGCTCCAAGGCTGATGGTTGGGCTGTGCTTGGCTTGCACTCTGTTTCTACATTTACCCATGCATTAAAGAAACCATTTCATGTCAGAGGAAAGGATTGGGGAAAATTGTATCGTCTGTGGACAGAGAGAAAAGGGAATAAAATACCATTTAATAAACTCTAACTCTAGGCTGCTTATTTCTGGTGTCTGTGGGAGTGGGGTGGGAGGGGGATCCTGGCTTAGGCCTCTGCCCTGCTCCATCACACGATGTTGGACCCTCTCCCCAGTGGAACACCCATTAGCAGATGAAACACTCTGTTCTGACAGTTCCATTCCCAACCGCACACACAAGGGAAGACGGTTCACTGACGAAGACCCCCTAGGTCCCAATGCCCATTCTTTGCTTATATTTTGTGGCTTTTCCTCAGGAAGATTTTGGAGTTCATAGATATCTAAAGTAAGAAAGTGTCAAAAATGGAAGTGAAGATGTTATTGTCACTAAAGAAGCTCCTGAAAATCAAATGTGTAGACTCACTAATTGAATCCGTTCCTCTAATGAAAGCCTTGGCAGCAACCAATGATCCAGTGGGAGGAAGACCACTCTTTAGCATGGCAGAGGGGGACTCCCAACTGGCCACATGTAGCTGCCTGGCCCTGAGGTGCCATGTGCTCTGGGGACACACAGGTGACATTTGGAAGCAATGGGAAAGAGCCCATATCCACCATCTGTGAAAAAGGGCATCCAATCTCTTATCAATTGTTCTGTGAGCAAAAGGGGATGGACAACCCATGATTTACTTCTGGCTGACTAAAGCCTATTTTGTGCCAGTGCAAGGACCTGGCTGTAGGCATGCTTGGCAGGAAAACATGATTGTAAGATACTATTGTGCATGGAGGGCTGTTCCTCACAGCCCTTTCCTGGACTTGTGAATGCAGGTCTCAGCTTTTATGTTTCCCCTGTGGGGATGTGTATTACTAAGAATTCTAGAGGAATTCTCAGACTTTGTGCTTGCTATAATGACAGAGCCCACAGTCTTGTGACTCACATCTTGGCAACACTATTTACATGATTGAAATGCATAGAAGGACATTCGGAAATCAGCACCAACACCATCTGACATGGATCCCAAATACAAGGATGCTAGCAAACAAGCCCACATGTGACTAATGAGAAGACGATGCCATAAAACCTGATTCTTACAGAAAATATTTATCAGCCCAAAAGAGGAACTGATAGTAAATGCAGTGACTCATCTGGTGGCCATTCTTTTAAGATGGGGAAATCACTGGTAAACACAGATAAGGATGGACGAGTAATTAGGCCTGCAATGATAACATGTAAGGCTGATGAAAATATTCCCATCTATGTTTGTCATTAGATAATTACTGGCCTTGAACAATTTGCAACTAACAACAAGCTAGAAATAAAAGCAAATGACACAGTTAGAAACAGACCTCTTAGAGATCTAAGTTAATGGCTTATAGTCCTGGAAAAGTCATCAGAAAGGCAGTTCATGGATTGTACTTACTCATTTGAGAACCTTGTTCCCAATGACTGACCTTCATATATCCAACAAGAAACCAATGGCATCCTCAGATTAGGATAAATCAGGGAGAAATTAACAAAGGGATTATTTACAAGAATATAGGCATCTGGTAGAAACACACACACACACACACACACACAATATTTTAATCCCCAGACATATGCATGTGGACTATTATATCCCAAAGGATTACAGGGGAGCTCATTAAAGAGACAGTAGATCTTTAGTTGGACATGGTTGGCCCAAAGTAAACCAGCAGAAGACTGGAGGAACAAAACCCATCTTCACTCTTCTTGTGCCTCTTGAGCTTCCTCAGAGCCACACCAAACTGGAAGCCCTAAGGCAAGGTTGGTTTGATCCCCATGAGATTGGAGATTAGATGTAGTGGGTGTGAAGAATATAGTGGAGATAGGTACACAATCCATCTTGCCTATGAGCATCCAGTCTGTGCCTTATGAGGGTGGAAACCCCAAGTTCCCAAGGACAAGGGACATGGAAAATCCTGCCACCTACAATGCCCTTGTAGATGCCTCTCAGTGCCTATGTGCTCTTTCCAGGGACCCAGCTCATGATTAGCATGTTATTATAAAGCTATAAATGTTCTTTATATAAAGTAGTGGGAGGGTGGGGAATTAACAATGCACTCACAGGCAGAGTCTAAAGCTGGTCACAGGTCCAAAGCTGCTTGTTGGAGCTGCTTTTCTCTTACTAGTCATTCTATGTGTCCTTATTCCCTGCTGGTACATATCGTCAATATTGATCTTTATTCCTGTGGGACTTGAATTCATGTGAAGTTTGTCTTTATTGGGACTAAAGGTAAGGAATAACAAGAAGCACCTGTGTGAAACCCCTGCATAAGCTTTTCCTTAGATGAGAGGCATCGGTCACTCCAGCCAAGAAAGCCGCTTCTTTCTCTACCTATTGGGTCAATGGCATAGGCACTTCAAATGACTCTACTGTTTTTTGTTTGTTTTTGTTTTTTGCATTATCCTGCAAGTTTTGGTAAGCCTCATTGTCATTCAATAGCAAGTATTCCTTAAATTCAATTATGACCACCTTCTTCAAGCTGGCAGTTGTTGTAAAGTATATTTTAAGAGTCCCAAATGTACATGTTATCAACATATTTTTAGAGATAAAATGCAACCTTATAGAATGTGCCCATTGGGGTTTGAAGATGAATCCCCAAGGGCTTCTACTTAATACTTGCTCCCCAGCTGATGGAGGCTATGGTAAGTCTAGGAGAGGTTAGTGGGAGGAAGGAGGCCCCAGAGGGTAGGATGTGAAGCTTATTTCTGGTCCACCTCTCTCTTTCTTTCTCTCTCCTTCCTGCCATATGAGATGATTAATTGCCATCTACTCTACATTCTCATTGCCATTATGTTCTGTCCAATCCATTAACAATGCCACTTATAAGGGGTCTACCTGTTAGGATGGTTGGGAGACGTAAGTATCTCTCACAAGGGCCTGCCTCCATCATGATCATGCCCCAGATCTCATTTCCAATACACAGGCTATGGGGGAATGAATTTAGAACAGACAGAAAGATATGGATAAAATATATAAGCCAACTACATATATACGCCTTGATAGAAATTGTAGCAAATTAAATCTAGCATGGTATAAGAACCACACTACAACGAGGAAGGTTTAACATTTAAAAATGTATAAATAATATATGCCTTCATATTGAGAAGAAGGTAGGAAAAGTGATAGGATTATTGCAAAAGATGTGGAGGAAATAATTTTATATACTTGAATGACCATAATGATTTAAACTGCACACTCTACACATCCACACATCTCTTAGACTAATTGGGATAAAAGAGATGACTTTAACCTAATAAATGCTGTCTTCAGCAAGCATTGTTCACGGTGGAAAACAGAAAAATAAGAGCAGTTCCTTTAAGCAGTTCCTTTAAGGAGACAGGAAAAAGGCAAGAATACTCATTATTGTTTCCCTGTTCCATACCGAAGGCCCAATCCAGCAGAGTATTAAAACAAAATTACAGCATAAGAACTAAAAGACAATAGCTATTATCATTCACATTTGATAGAATTGTCTATTTTTTTTTAAAAATCTAGAATGTAAACAAGCAAATGGTTAAATACTGAAATAGAGTTTCATTATGTAGCTAATTACATAAAGCTAAAACTTGATTGTTTTTCTACACAACAGCAATAACGAATTTGAAAAAAAAGTAGAAAAGAAGTCACTTCCAACATCAATGACATCTTTAAGATACCTGAGAATAAGCCTGTGTGAAGGTGTGTAAGATTTGTGTATATAAAATAATATAGCACAGGGGCTGGGAAGGTGGCTCAGTGGTAGAGTGTTTGTTTGCCTTGCATGCATGAGGCCCTGGGTTCTATTCCTCAGCACCAGATAAGCAGAAAAAGCCAGAAGTGGTGCTGTGGCTCAAGTGGTAGAGTGCTAACCTTGAGCTGAAGAGCTGAGGGACAGCGCGCAGGCCCAGAGTTCAGGCCCTACGACTGACAAAATAATAATAATTATTATTATTATATAGCACAGAAGGAAAATCAATGAAAATTGAAATCAGCAGAAAAACAACCCTTGACCATGAACAGGAAGCTGACACCACAGAGATACCAATTGTCCTGACTAACTGCAGATCTTCACAACTTTGATGCAATTCCAAAAGTATTCCAACTGGAGACCTACCTCATGGTAGAGCACCTACCTAGCAAGCACAAGGCCCGCAATTCAAACCCCAGTACCACCAAAAGAATAATGTTTTTCTGCTTTGTGTTTTTTGTTGTTTAGAATCTCATATACTCATGTTACAATGAGGCAAGAAGAGCAGAGGACTTGAAAGAGCCAGGATACTCCTGGAGAAGAAGGAAGTGATGGATGGTGTCCCCAGGTAGGCAAGACTTACTTAAAGCAACGGAACTGGAACCTGTGGTAGGCACAGAAAACTACCATTACCCTTGGAGTGACCGACCTGCACATGTTCGTTTTGTTTTTGTGTTTTGACAGTAGTGGGTGGGAACTCAAGGCTTACGCTTGCTAGGCAGGTGCTCTACCACTTAAGCCATACCTCCAGCCTTTTCTTGCTTTATTGTTTGGGGTTTGAGACAAGGGTCTCACTTTTTCCCTCAGGACTAGTCTGGACCACAACACAGGTACAAACCACCATGCCCTGGCAAATGATTAAGATAAGGGGTCTCGCAGATTTTTGCCCAGGCTAGCCTGGAACTATGATATTCCTAATCTCAGCCTCCTGTATAGCTAAGGTCATAGTTATGCCTATAACCATGCCAAGCATATCCACATGGTATTTGATGTAAGATAGAGTTCTTCACAGAATGTAGAATGAGTTGTTATGACTTGTCTCCCTGCTGTGCTACAGAGCACTGGAAGCTATTCCCGTCTGTGCCTAACTGGGCTTTGGTGCCTGTTTTCCAATTGCCTTCTCTCCCCACCTCTCCTGCTGCTTCCTGGCCTCTAGTTGTCACTATTCTATATTCAAACATTTTTTACTTAGGAGGGAGAACATGAAGGACTTGTCTTTCTCTGCATGGCACATTTCACCTAACAATGTTTTCCACTCCCATGATTGGAACCTGGAACAGCTTTTGACATTAAGTAACACTGACTGGTCCTCTCTC